GAGCAAAAGAATTGAAAGTCTAGCCACAAGAAGTCTTTGAGAGGCTGTGGTACCTTATTGGTTGTCTGGATTTCTGCAGCCAAGAGATGATTGGCCAAGGGATGTCTATGGATAAGCAGGCAATTGGAATTGGGAAGAATAAAAGAGGAAACATGTCCATTACTCTCTGTCTTAGATTTTAGAATCAAATTTTATTTTCAAGGTAATCTATAGAACATGGTTGAATTTGTCTCTTGCTTGAATGTATTGAGGGAGCCAAGACACATATGCCATGCTGTAATATGTGAGAATGAGAACAAAGAAGTCATAATTCTTAATACTAAGTACTTTTCTATGTGATATCAGACCAAATCATCTAGCAGAAATAGAGGAGTGCAAAATTAGCAAATGGAGGGAAAAGGTGGGTGGGCTAAACATTAGGAAACCACGTTTCATAATATTGATGGCTTACAACATAGACAGTGCCACTGCTATTTACATTATATGAAATCTGTTTCAGAACTACACTGAAATCCCTTCAAAGCACACACAATCCCTGTTTTCACAATACACAATCTAATCAGCCATTCAAATCTTCTTACCAGTTTTTGCAGCACACAATCATACTAATTTGGTCAAATGTCATTATTCTGAGGATACACCAGCTTTTCTGAGGGTTAAGGTTCTCACCAGCTTTTTTCCAGAAACACCAGGCATCCCAGAAATCTTTGCCCCAATATACAAGGCTTCATCCCTTTCCCCATCAGTCAGCCAAGCAACAGTCAACATGGAAGGGAAAGGGAAATGATAGTCTTTCAAGCCTTACTTCATATAAATCCTACAATTCCTGGATCCTGTCTTCCTACACTCCCTTCCAGAAAATTCTACATTACAACATCCACTTTGTCAACCCCTGCCCAGCTTCACCCTCTCCCCTTCACGGTCAGAGGGCCATGAGTTCAATAATTTCACACCCAGTGCAAGTAAATCAAAATCTTCTTTTTTTAAAAGCACAGCAAAAGAGACACCTGATCCTGACCAAAGGTCCCCTAAAGAGCATAAGGCAACCCAAAATGGAGAAAAAGTAGAAGCAACAGTAAAACGTGCATGTGGCTCGGTGTCTGTTTATACCATCCAGTATGCAGTGAGGATTTTCAGCCCTGGAAAGCTGAACAGCAGGCAGCCAATTTCTTTCTCACTGTCTACGTCAGGCATGCAAACAGTGACTTCAAGTAGCATTGTTTAAGGCACCATTGTTTACTTAGATTAACGATCATACATATTTATATTTTCATAGCTTAGACACAAGAGGCTCTCCTGAGGGCCTTCTCATTTGGAGTTATTGCTGGTTGTAAATGTTTGCAAGAGAAATGTCAGCAAGCAACCTGCCAAAGCAGTGGTGGCTTGGTTGGCCCCGTAGCCAGTCACTAATATGGAGATATATTTACTTGCTGCTAGCAACTTAGCAATCAATTCCATAGTGCCTTTTCCAGCATCCGTATCCAAACAACAAACACAATGTAATATATAATGTACCTCTTGCTGGGATATAATTCAACTACATCAAAAAAATAATCAAATAAGAACTAAATAGTTGATAAAAGTACACAGAGGAATAAATCATTATGTATCATAAAACTCTTATAACCACAATGTAAACAAAGCTAAACAATTATAAAAACCGAAGCCTACCATCTCACTTTATTAATATTTCCTGAAAAGCATCTCCATTTCAGGCAGAATTTCCCATTTTCACAAGGTGCAGAGAAAACTGATTTATAGACCCACTTCTTTCCATTATGTAAGTTTACTCGGAATAGAAATTGGCAAAAGATTTATACAATCCGGAGAGAAACCAGAATTTATATTGTAGCACTGATAAGATAAATGCATGGTTCCATTTATTCAATGGATTAAAGAACTGATTGTACTTGCCACTTATGAGCAGACTGCCTATAGATGTAGACCTTGTATAGACAAGTATAATAAAATATGGGATCCATTTATACAAAACACAGTAGGTTAAAAAAGATAGTCCTATAAACATATTAGAAATATATACATACTTTAATAATATTTGCATTAGACAAGTATAGATTTGTAACTGTTTATTCATATAATGGCATATATTTCCTTTTTTCTTTGTCATATTTTATCACTGTTTTTGTTAAAGTGCTTTTTATGTGTTTTTTCTCTCTTTGACAATATATATATCACCATCACTATTATTTTTTTTACTTTTTTCTTTTATATATATACACACACATCACACAGGCAAAAGAACCGTCCAGAGTTTAAGATACATAAGATTTCTCAAAGTAAGCTACAAAAAAGAAGAAGAAATCGAGTTGACAACAAAGAGTTAGAATTGTTATTTGTCTATTTGCTATCCGGGACTGGTCATCTCAATTTCTAGAGTCCAGATCTGATATCCCTACAGGAGTAGTACATTCAGAGCCTTGAGGATAAAGGCTCGATCTAGGTTGTAAAAAATGAAGGGAGTTACAAGATTAGGTTCACACTCAGGATGTAAAACAAAATTGTTACTGATGTTGACTATCTGCTAGGTCAGCGGTTCTCAACCTATGGGTCGCGACCCCATTTGGGGTCAATCGACCATTTCACGGGGGTCGCCAAGCAAGGCTGTTCGCCATTTTTTTCCCCTTTTCCGGCGGGTGCCTTACCTCCCTTGGGCTGGGCCAGCTGGTGGTCAGCCTGCTCCGTCTCTGCCACTTGCCAGCTACGCCTCGGCCGGCGCAGGGGGCGGAACCACGCATGCGTGGTGCTCCCGGGCAGGGAAAGTCCTCGACGTACGACCGGTTGGGTAGTCCTCAACTTATGACTGGTTTAGTCCTCGACTTACGACCGGTTGGGGGTCGCGGCATTAAAAAGATTGAGAACCACTGTGCTAGGTAGAGACTTTGGAAGACTAACCTTTCTAGATTATGCTAATTACTCTAAAAGCAGGTTTCCTGCAGAAGGGCTCAAAATTCTTGAGTAGACTGATTTGAAGTTCCATTTTTGCTCTTTAATTCTCAATCCTGATCTGTCACTGCTCTAGTATGCTTGGAGGAAATGGAGAGTCAATCCTGGTCACAGTCCTGGACAACATTTTATATTGTGTGTCACCCAAGGTTGCTCAATCTCATTAAAATCAGATTGAATCAAATAAACAAACAAGGTTGAAAGTTTTGATGATCAGGTCTGCCCTCTGATCTAAGTTTGGCTCTGTCTGTTTGGGATTAGCCTCTTTTAAGTTTTTTGTCCTTTTGCTTTTTTTGTTCCAGTGAGGAGACATCTGGGAAGACTGGAGGAGGCTCACGCAATTCTCTATCTTTGACTTTCTCCCATGCATTTCTCTCACAATCCGTGCAATCAGGATAAAATATGATTCTTAGATAGTGTAGATAATCATCTGAAAAAGAAATTCCTGATTTGTACGTCCTGTTTTCCTGATATAAAAGTAAGGATGGGAGAAAAAGAAAGTTTCTTCAGATTTGCAGTCTCTGTAGGTGGTTTGTAATGTATTTCTCTTGTTTTCAGTGCAGCACTTTTTTTTCTGCTGATTGCTATTAATTCAACAATGTGTTGTTGGAGGCGTTCATTGATTACAGGAGCAAATCACAGGAGAAATGACCCATTTATGTGTATCCCAGCAAACACACATACATACACAGTAAAAGACATCTTTTTAGGTGCCAGATTAATGGAACTATTGTTCAAGGTTGCTTGTTGTAACTAAACACTTTTTTTTCCCCTGTGGAACAATGGAGATAAATATTAATCCATAGTAGCTTCTACCACTGGGGAAAAAAAAGGCATGTATGACAGACAGTTTATTGCTCTCAGTCTCTAATTATACTTTTAAGGGAGATTTTTGTAGAACAGACATGTCAAACACAAGGCCC